ATCTACCTATCTATCTACCTATCTACCTACCTATCTATCTATCTATCTTTCTATCTATCTATCTATCTATCTATCTCATTAATCTATCTATCTATCTATCTATCTATCTCTCTCTATCTATCTATCTATCTATCAATCTATCTATCTATCTATCTATCTCTCCCTCTCTTTTCTTTCTCTTTGAGTTACCTATCTATCTATCAATTTATCTATCTATCTATCAATTTATCTATCTATCTACCTAGCTACCTCTATCCATCTATCTATCCATCCATCCATCTATTTATTTATCTTCGTATCCATCTACCTATCTACCTATCCACCCATCTACTTATCCATCCATCCATCCATTCACCTATCTGGCCATCTTACCTATCTATTTGTCCCAAAGCTTTTGACCCCGGCAGATCGCAACGTGGCCAGTGTGGAGGATTGCCACCAGAATACACGAGTACGAAAGCTTGCAAGACCAGAGTCATCATCGAAGCAAGGGGCCAGGAAAATGGACACATTGCCGTTTGTTTCGTGCCGTCAGAAAAGACTGACACGCAGGCTAAAAGACCAAACGACATCGGTACGGCAACGTGACACTGCGCTTTTGTGCTGCCAGAAAAAACACACACGGAAGGCTAAGCTGCTGGAAAATGAACCGGTCAGAAAAGACACAGTCGGCTGTTTTCGCTTACGGTCCGGATGATCAAACCCGTGTGCCACGTCGCCACGGAAATCTTGGAGGTGCTTGCGTCTGGTGGCAAAAACTTCTGGCGATCACAAAACAAACACCTAGAGGCTAAGCTGCTGGAAACTGAACCGGTCAGAGAAGACACAGTCGCCTGCTTTTAAACTCCTGGAAAATGAACCGGTGAGAAAAGACACAGTCGGCTGCTTTCACCTGGTCCGGATGATCAAAGCCGCGTGCCACGTCGTCACGGAAATCTTGGAAGTGCTTGCGTCTGGCGGCAAAATCTTCTTGCGATCACAAAAAGAACACCTGGAGGCTAAGCTGCTGATACCATCAAAAACTGAGCCATCTGTCTATCTATCTATCGATCTAATCTAATCTAATCTAATCTAAATCTAATCTAATCCAATCCTATCAAATCTAATCTAATCTGATCCAATCCAATCCAATCTAATCTAATCTAATCTAATCCTATCTATCTATCTACCTACCTACCTATCTATCTATCTATCTATCTATCTATCTATCTATCTCATTAATCTATCTATCTACATACCTATCTATCTATCTATCTACCTATCTATCCATCCAACTATCTATCTATCTATTTATCTATCTATCGATTTATCCTATCTATCGATTTATCCTATCTATCTATCCATCCATGCCATCCATCCATCCATCCTATCTATCTATCTATCTATCGATCGACCGATCGATCGATCTATCTATCTATCCATCCATTCATCCATCCATCCATCCTATCTATTTATCCTGTCTCTCTATCTATCTATCTATCTGTCTGTCTATCTATCTATTTCATAAATCTATCTATCTATCTATCTATCTATCTCAGTAATCTATCTATCTCAGTAATCTATCTATCTCATTAATCTATCTATCTCATTAATCTATCTGTCTATCTATCTATCTATCTGTCTATCTATCTATCTATCTATCTATCCATCTATGGATTTACCCTGTCTATCTATTTGTCTATCTGTCTGTCTATCTATCTATCTATCCATCTATCTATCTATCTATCCATCTTTCTATCTATCTATCTACCTTTCTATCTCTCTATCTATCCATCCATCCATCCATCTATCTATCTATCTACCTATCTACCTATCAATCTATTGATTTATCCTATCGCTTTATCGTATCGATATATCCTACCGATTTATCCTAATCTATCTGCCTATCTATCTATCTATCTTTCTTTCTTTCTATCGATTTATCCTACCTATCTATCTATCTATCTATTTATCTATCTGTCGATTTATCCTATCTATCCATCTATCTATCCATCCATCCATCCTATCTATTTATCCTATCTATCTATCTATCTATCTACCTATCTATCTATCTATCTATCGATCGATTTATCCTATCTATCCATCTATCTAGCCATCCATCCATCCTATCTTTTTTTCCTATCCATCTATCTATCTACCTATCTATCTATCTATCTATCGATCGATTTATCATCTATCTATCTACCTATCTATCTATCTATCGATCGATTTATCCTGTCTATCTATCTATCTATCTGCCTATCTATCTATCTATCCATCCATCTATCTATCTACCTATCAATCTATCGATTTATCCTATCGATTTATCCTATCGATTTATCCTATCTATCTATCTATTTATCTATCTATCTGTCTATCTACCTATCTATCGTTTTATCCTGTCTATCTATCTATCTATCTATCCATCCACCTATCTATCTATCTACCTATCTATCTACCTATCAATATATCCATTTATCCTATCGATTTATCCTATCGATTTATCCTAATCTATCTCTCT